ATGGGTGCTTCGTTTACGCTCCCGCGTTGGATTTACGCCCTTCCCCCCCTGCTTTGTGGTTCGGATTTTTGAGTCCTGTTGAGGTTCTCAAAGAAAAATCCATAAATTCCCACTGCCAATATGACGAACAAACACTTTTTGGTGTTGCTGCCCTTCCGGATGCTGATTAAACCCTAAAGACGCATTGCGCGTAAACGGCCGTAGACGGGGATTCAATCGACAGGAGAGGACTCGGCCCTGTTACTGAGTACAGTACCTACCTCACGCTGACTTGCATGGACTATATTGCCGCCTGATGTGCGAAAAACGTATCTCGAAGACAAATCTGGCGCGCTCAATGGCTTACAGTAGTAGGATCCTGAATTCGAGTCTCCGACACGCAGCAAATACCGATCCCTAAGGATTCCATTGCGCTCGCTAGACAAGCTTGCTGACCTACCCGTATCAGAGTTCACACGTTGAAGGCACCCAGATTCAGTGTTTGATGAGGTTTCAGAATCTTCAATCTGCTTTGTGATACATTACTGACAGTGTTATTTGGCAACGAGCTTAGACGGGCAACATCCAAGTTGCTCGACGAACTATTACAGGTAGGAAGAAGGGGCAAACGGAGAGAGCTGGATACGGAATACGAAGAGTTAAACAAAAGTTGGGATATCTGAGCAGTAGCCCACTGATCACTACCCACCCCGCTCGATGCAATGGGCAGCGCGGTTTTGATTATCCTGCGCGACGACCTATCCAGAATGAAAATATTTTTAGTTTGTGTATGCATTGGGTTTGATGGGCGGGTACTACTAGGGTGTCCAGCCACTAAGTACACACAAGGGTGATCGAATCGATCATTGCTGATCTACCCCGATGGCTAACCGAAGCAGAATAAGCGGTTTAGCGACGGTCAGCACGGGTTTTAGTCGCTACAGTGCAATGCTTAGAATCGGAGCCGGTTGTGTGGATGTTACAAGCACTCACTACGAATGGCTGTGACCCCTTCCCCGGCCGACATGTTGGCACAAAAAAGAAAAATGTGCATGTAACACTGACACAATAATAGAGAAAATCACCCACATTTTTATTTTCTTACATTGGCCCATTTTTTATCAAACTATATGGAATAGGAAATAAACCTAGTTCGCATTTGACAAACAATGCAACAGGAGATGATATGAGATACAAGACAAACGGAGGATAAAAGTACACACTCCCAATATATATTTCAAAGCCATTGAGGGTTGTAATCCGCGACGATTGGTGTCAAAATCGTAAATGCCGACGTGTCGAAAACAAAAGCAAATCGTCACAATGGTTATTCCTCGATTGACTAAGCTCGTCTGATTATGGAGGGGGAGAGAGCGAGAAAATGCAATCAACTCTAATCCACGAACCACTACTTACCTTGGCAGCTTTCAGAATCAGATCTTTCTCCAGTTCTGATTGCCGCATCATATCGTGTTCATCTAATTTTTGCAAAAATTGCAACTGCTCCCGAACACAGTCTGTCTGATTGAGGCGCGGATCGTCCGCCAATCGTTCTAACCGATGCGACACGACCACACTGAGTCGGGCCAAAAGAGACCTCATAAACGATTGTAAACCGTGTGCCAGGCAAACGACCGCGTCTTCATTCATATTGGTAAAGCCATGACTGGCGAGCACCTGACGAATTTGCTCGGGTGGAAAAAACGGTTTATCTCGACTCGGCGAAATAGATCGAAATCGGGAGTCCTCAGCCAAATCGGGTTTTCTATCGGTACTATCCATCAGAAGTAAACTACCACTGGCACTGGCGGATGATACTGTGCCAGCGGTGAGTGAGTTAGAGGTGGGGGTCGCAGCCGTGACCGATGACAGCAGTTGGGATGAGGTTCGACTNGGTGATTGGTGATTCGTTGTCCGTCCTGATGCGTCCGGTTTTGTCCGTACAATGGCAGGAAGAGAAACCGTGGTGGCAGATTTTAAGGATTGCAGACTCAGGGAAGTGGTAGATGGAGTACTGGTGACTGTGGAGCTGGCAGGGGAAGGGGCAAGAACGGGACGAAGATTTGGATAATTGGCACGCAATGTGTTTGTGGCATTGGTGAGTCGAGTGGAAACGACTGTGTTTGTCGATGTGGCAGGCAGGATAGCTGCCACAGTCTGTGGAGTAATCACACTGTTTAGTGGTTGGGTTAAACGATATTTGGGTAAAGAAGCACCAAGAGTAGCGTTGGAGGTGGACGAGTTTGTACTAACTACGGAACCCGCAAGCACTGTGGTTGAGGTCCGGGGTGGAGCAGGGGCAAGCAGTGGAGGTTGGGTAATGGGGGGACGTGAACCAGGAGGTAATACAACTGGAGCGACCTGACCGACCGTAACCGGTGATGGGGTTGAACTCATCAACGTCCCAACGATTCGTGGCTGACTGATGGTCGGAATGCCTAACCGAGGAGCGATGGAAGTATTCAAACCGGACACGGACACATTGGGTCGAACTTGAACAGAGACACCACCTGGAGTTCCTGAAACAGCCACACCTAACACCGAAGCCACACTGCTAACAGGCATGCTGATTTTGGCAGCACTAG